TGTTTTCATTTTTTCTGTGTTTATGTGACACCCTGTGTATAACGCAGAGAGCACCCACTGGGACAAGATGCAACAGGGAATTATGTGCCTAAGTAGAGAAAATTTAAGGGGAACTTAGACCAAGACTAACTAGCAACCTGGTCTCTGGGCAGATTTCTTGAATGGGTGGTTTCTGGCAGTGAGACTTTGAAAGATTAATTCTATTTCTGAGGAGTAGGCTGTTTGGCCCATCAGAGCTGAAAGCCAGTTCAGAGTTTCCCCTTTATAAGACTTACACGCCTTGCCCTCTGAAAAGTGGAAGCCACCAGCTGGGTGCTGGGTGTGCCTTTCCCTAGATTCACGCAAAGTTTCCCAATTCATGTATTACCAGTTAAACAGGATTTTGAATTTTCTTTTCTTCCTCGAATATAGAAGGTACTAAAGATGTCTGATGTCTTGAAAAGTCTAAGGACCTGGAACTATTATTTATACTGGACCATGTCTTCTCACACTGTGGAGATAGGGGAAGAGCTCAAACCAGCTAAGTTTGAGCAATACCTATCTGTAAGTCCTTGGGCCAGGCTGTGGGGAGCCGTCCACAGTGTGCTGCAGTACCTCACAGGACCGTCTCCTGACCCCCAGTGCAGAGGGGGCGGAGCTTACCTTCTGGGTCTATCTCTCATAGCTGTGCTTGGAATTGCTGCTGATTCCTGGTTTAGATACTTATCCTAGAGCATTGACTAAAACTTTAAATGACTTGTAAATCACACTGTTATACCAAGAGTCTGTTGTTTACATTCTCTTGAGTCTATAGTCCCATAGGTTGCTGATGTAGCATAAAACTGGTAGAGCCTTTCCGGGTGGTAGTTTGTCAGTAGGTTTCAAAATGTCCATGCCCTTTGACTGAGTAATCCAATGTATAGGAAGTCATCATGAAGTACCTAATGACTTAACTAGGAGATGTTCACTGCAGCTTCCCCGCAAACAGGGTAAATTATTAATCATCCATAAAACAAAATAATGCACAACCATTAAAAATATATAAATGTACATGTTTTTAGACATCAAAAGATATTCATGATATCCTATTAAATAAATAAAGTTTGCAACAGTAAATTCAATGCATATATATAAGAAAATATTAAACACTTATGCTCAGAAGAAATGCTGGAAAGGAAGGATCAAAATACTAATATCTGGGTAATATGATTAATATTGATTTTTAATTAGTAATTGATAATTTTATCTTACTATCTTCTATGATGGCCAGCTATTACTTATGAAAAAGGAAATTACTTACCATTGAAACTGGCTTCTGGCATAGAGAGAAGGGATGAGGAGATGATGAATGTGAATCAGCAATACGCCATGTTTACTACTGTGTGTTAGCATGTTGGCAGTGACGTCAGGGTGCCAGTGGCACACTATTAATTCAGACAAAAGGATGTGAATGCCAGGGTTTCAAGAGAAGGGCCAGCTTCAGAACTATACACACTCGAGCCATATTTTTCTTCTCTTTATCTAAAATGTTCTGATTTTGTAGGATAATTATTTACCTTTCTCTTTTGACTTCAGACAAAATCCATTTTCATTTGTTTAGTAAATAATTATAAGTACACAAAAGAATATTTACAATATAAAGGTAAAGTGGAGAAAATACTCATGAACAGAAATTCAGTATCCAGAAATGGAGTATGACCACTGATCCTGAAAGAGCCCCCTAGGGCAGCAGTCCCCAACCTTTTTGGCACCAGGAACTGGTTCTGTGGAAGATAATTTTTCCATGGACACAGGGTGATGGTGATGGTTTTGGGATGATTCAAGCATATTACATCTATTGTGTACTTTATTTCTATTATTATTACATTGTAATAATGAAATAATTACACAACTCACCATAATGTAGAATCAGTGGGAGCCCTGAGCTTGTTTTCCTGCAACTAGATGGTCCTATCTGGGGGAAACGGGAGACAGTGACAGATTGTCAGGCATTAGATTCTCATAAGGAACACACAACCTAGATCCCTCCCAGGCACAGTTCCCAATAGGGTTCACTCTCCTCTGAGAATCTAATGCCACCACTGATCTGATGGGAGGCAGAGATCAGGTGGTAATGCAAACAATGGGGAGTGCCCATAAATATGGATGCAGCTTTGCCAGCTCACACACCTCTCACCTCCTGTGGTATGGCTGGCTCCTAACAGGTAACAGAATGGTACTGGTCGGTGGCCCAGGGTTTGGGGACCCCTGCCTCTGGTAAGACCTTCCATTCCTTTCTCCTTTTCTCCCTGCCTTGAGAAAACCACAGTCCTGAATTTTTTTTTTTTTTTTTTGAGACAGAGTCTCATTCTGTCACCAGGCTGGAATGTAGTGGCGCTATCTCTGCTCACTGCAACTTACGCCTTCCGGGTTCAAGCAATTCTCCTGACCCACCCAGCCTCCTGATGGTTTTGGGATGATTCAAGTGCATCTGTAGCTGAGACTACAGATGGGTAGGTGGGCGCCACCATGCCCAGCTAATTTTTGTATTTTTAGTAGAGACGGGGTTTCACCATGTTGGCCAGGATGGTCTCAATCTCTTGACCTTGTGATCCTTCCACCTCAGCCATCCAAAATGCTGGAATTACAGGCCTGAGCCACCACACCCAGCCTTTGCTTTTCTTTATAATTTAATTCTTAAGTAATATTTTCAGCTTTGTATGCTTTTGTACTTCACTTAAGTGAAATTATACTTACTCTTTTGCAACTTATGTTTTTCACTCAATATCTTATTTCCAAGTTTTATCCATGTAATATGTATTGTCATTGTCCACTCATTTTGCTATGATCAAGTCTTCATCATGAAAATGCACCACAGTACACTTATATATTGCCCTGTTTATGAACTTTTGGGTAACTTACAGTTTGTTGCTACTATGAAAGCTTTCATTAATGGCCTCTGATGTGCATGGATAATATCTAATGCTCATGCAGATTGTCTCAGGTCTATACAGAGTGGAATTGCTGGTTTGCAGGGTGTGTGGATGTTCAATTTTAATAGATAAAAATAGATTTTTTTAAATGAAAAAGTACATAATACTAAATCATTTTCAAATTATTTTTAACTATTTATATTCTTGCCAGCAGTATATGAGAGTTTCTATCCTTTGCATAGTCACCAACAATAGCAACATATTGATGTTATTTCTATCTCTGGATCTTGAGAGTTATTAGTAATGTCAGACTTGTACTTTTTGGTAATCTACCTAGCTTGAAATAATTTAATTTGTATTTCCCTGAGCATCAGTGACATCAAGTATGTTTTCTTAGGTTTATTAGCATTTGTGATTTCTGCCGATAAATCTTCTGTTCCAGTCTTTTGGCCCATATTTCTATTGGATTACTTCTGGTTTTAAAGTGGGTCTGTAAGAAGTCTGTATATGTTGGGAAGAAATCTTTTTAGTTATATATGTGAGAAATATTGTCTTCCAATTAGTGGCTTGTCTTCATTTTCCACGCAGTGTGTTTGATAAAAAGACATTCTTAATCTTCCTCACCATTTCTTTCATGGTTTGCCTTCTCATGTCTTGTTTAAGAAGTCCCTTCCCATCCAGAGGTTCAGAAACACAAACTCCTAGATCGTCTTCTAAAATGTTTATGGTTTTGTCCCTGTGAGTCGTTTAAAGGTGTCCAGTGTGTTTTTTTCTATAGGGATAACTGCTCTTGGACAATTTATTAAAAACCCTTTTGTTGTAGGACATTCTCCTTAGTTCAGCTAAAAACGGGGTTCTTGTCATGCGACCATGAAAGATTAGGCTTGCAGACACTTTGAAGGGTGAGAAAAATGGAATTCACTGGACAAAGAGGGAAAGAAAAACTCAGTAAAGCAAGAGAGGTTCCTGTTAAGAAGCTCCCATCTCACAGATGGAATTCTCAGTTACCACCCCGGAACAAGGAAGGCCAGGCTCCCACCCCCTGCAAACAGCAGGAACTTCTGGCAGGAACTTCTGTGGCTCAACCTGTTCTCCCAGTGAGCAGGCCAGTGGGAGTTTCTCCAGGAACCCCTTTGTACTTGGCTGTCTCATTTCCTTTCCTGCAGAGGTGTAAATGCCAGCCCTGACTTGAATCACATCATAGATGAAGTTTCCTAGGAGTGTGGGCCTGTTTCCTGAGTTTCCCGGAGAACACAGGCATTTAAGTCAGCCAGATGTTGAGGGGCCCTATGAAGAAACTTGTTCATATTTTAAACAATAAGTCATTTATCTCACATAATAAGTTAAAAGCTATTCTGGGTTATCCTGGGGCACAATAATGGCATTGAGAACCGCAGCTCTTCCCGTATTATCCTCTGCCAGAGTCGGTTTATCAGTAATGGTTCCTCACAGCTCCAGCTACTTCTAGCCATGTCTGCAGTAGAAAACAAAGGACTTCATACTTTGAATTCTAACCTTGAGGTTGTTTTGGACCACCCAGGGAGTGTGCATTAAGTTGCAAGCTGCTTTCCCATGCAGTCCCACTCAAGGTCATGAGTTCTCAGGGGAGGATTTTTTTCTGTCCATTCAGTGCTGAGTTTCAAGATGGGCAACTTGCCTTGCAGATCCCTGTGTGAAGAATTAAGTTATTTATTTCTAGTTCACCTGACTCTCAGGATGCAGCCCTGTGGGGCCTCCAATTTACACAGGAGTCTCACATTAGACTCGTCTCCATGGGTGAGCCTTGGGCTTTGTCCTCTGCCCCTGCACCCCATGAGACAGTGAAGACCTGAGCTGGAATTCACCAAGGTGAATGTAGACCTCCCTGAAAGCTTGCCCTGTTTACATCTCTGCCTTCCCAATTTCTCTTAATTTTTTTGGCTTCTCGGTATTTTTTACTTTCTTGGAGCTCATCACACATTTAGGAGGATTTTTTGTCTTTTCTGGAATTTTTAGTTGTTTTTCAGTGGAAGGGTCTGTCAGTGCATCTAGTCCTCCACACTATGGAAGCAGAAGTTGGTTTAAATTCACTTTAAAAAATGCATTCTGTTTTATCAATTTTGCCTAAAGGTTTGCTGGAGACTGAACCGTTGCAAGGAAGAGATGAAGACGCAGTAGCCAGTGCTGACTACTCTAGCATGCTCTCTGAGGAGGAAAAGGAAGAGTTAAAGGCAGAGTTAGTGCAGGTATGTTTAGTAATCTTATTGTTGCAATTTCTATCTCTGGATCTTGAGAGTTATTAGTTTGATACAAGTCCCATATTTTAATTGTGTTGTCTTTCATTTAATAAAATTTATAAATGAATACATTGCAAGATGATGCCTTTTTTCAAGGTATTTTTCTAATGTTGTCTATTACCTGTTGGTTACAGTTGTAGAATGAATCGTTGTGCTGCTTAGGCAACAATAATAACTAGTTTTAAATTTGCACTTCTTATTCTTTTTAACTATCAAAATACTATGGGAATAATAAATCACTTAAAATCCTGATGGAATTCATTCCAGACCATGTTATAGGTTCAAGATCCTTTTGAAGATTGGTTCTGGTTTTAGGTCAGCAACTCAACAATTATTTTGAAATGATTTTTTTTAATGAAAAAGTCAATCATAGAAGCAACCAAATTTATAAGTTGTATACTTTTTGGCAGAAAAATAAAGCTCTGGGGGGGAGAACGGAAAGCTATGCTTCATCGAGGCCTCATTAGAGCTTGTGTAGCTGCTGTGGGGATCTGGACCTAGAGAGGAGGAGGATGTCGGGCTCATTATGAATACAACTCTTTGTTCAAGTCTTTTGTTTGCAATACCCACTTTAGACACTTTGCTGAGAAGCCTTTACTTTCTAGGAGGAGAATGTTGTAGAAAGGGCTCCTTGAGTAGGATGAAGCAGCAGAGCCAGAGGAGCCAAGGCCAGCATTCCCTCCCCATTCTGTGTCCTGGCTCATAGGCCAGGAAGATCCTGTTCCCTCAGAAACAAGGTTGTCTTCCTGCTTTGCCCTCTCCACAGGCTGAGAACAGAGCTCTGAACTCCGCCTTACCCTCTTCCTGCTTTGTCCACTCTGAACTCAGTTCTAACCTCCTGAGAATGTTTGTCTATGACAGCTCAGAATAATGTTAAAGACTTTCAAGTGCTCTTACAAGACATACTCACAAATTAATTTTATTTCAAAATAAAAAAACAGCACATTCCTCTGGTTTCAGTAAGCACAGTGCTTCAGATTTTTAGCTGGGTCTGTCTGTGGCTGCTGAGTGGCTACACATACCGCAGTGCACAGACCAAAGTTAGCATCAACAGAGAATGAACTGACTCCACATGTTCTTATGGCCTGAAATTCTGGATCACGACTAGTTCACGTCAACCACGGGGTCCAAAGGTCATGCTCTGCAGACTGGGGTACGCCAACTGAGTCTCAGCTAAAACTTCACTCCATTGTGATGATAATGCTAGTATAAGTTCAGGCACAGCGTCTGTAACAGACCAATTGCTATAAAACGCCTTGATTTTTATTTTTCTGGGCTTTAGGATTACTGGGGTATACATACATACATATGCTAATGTATGTTGATTTTTGTATGTTCTCTATTTTCTAAATGTCAACAGTGAGCATGATATTACTTTTATAATCAAGAAAAAAGTAAGCATTGGTTTTAAATGGATGCTCCATGAATATAAAAAGCTAGAAGTGTTTTCAGATATTCCTGTCTCATTTGGCCATAGTAATATACTTCCAGCACATTTCATTCCTGAGGGATTTTGAGCCTGACTTCGGGAAAGAACACCAGACTCTTTGTTACTGTGTTCAGGTTACCAGGATTCATGCTTTGCACTAGCCTCCATGCTTCCTGGCTCTTATTTCTGGGTTCTTCAGAGATGAAGAAGTACCTCATGCTGCCAAAGGTAGCATCGTGACTTCCAGAGGCACATGAGCACAGCTGTCTGCCCCAGGCCCAGTGAAAAGCAAAGGAGGTGGATCTTTGCGAATTTTCTTCTTCACATTTCTCTTTCGCCTCCTCCACGTCAGGCCACCTCTGCTTTATACTCATTCTGTTTTTAAAACTGCTTTCCTTGCCCTTTACAAGTGTGCCTGCAGATGTGTGGACACAGGAACTCAAGTTCTTTAATATCCCATATGCATTCAGATTTTACCTTCAATACTAGGATTTAATTTTATCAACGACACACAGAAAGGCATCTCTGCAGCCTCACTGCTGGCCTTATGAAGAACTGAGTCCTATAGAGAGTCAGCTCCTCTGTCCCAAATCTCCACAGAGATTCTTTATGGGCCCCTGGTCACAAGGATCTCCTCTCTCTGTCTGAGGGAAGATCCTACTGAGTCTGTTAGCTTTTTGGGTACCAAAGATACCTCGGAGAACAGCCTATTAGATGATGGCCTTGGACTCAGACACTCAACTGTGGTCATGATCCAAAGCAAGACCTGTGTGTACAGGGACTTCTGACCCCTGGCTGCTTTGTTGAAAAGAGTTCTTGAGTGTGCCAGGTGTCCACGCTCCTCTTTGTTTCTTACCTCTCTCTACTTTCCTCATCTCCTCTGTGAAATAAATAATTCAAAATCAAAGCTGTTGGAACTTTAAATTATTTTGAGCCTTAAAGGAATGTAATTACGGGACCGAGTCACATAACAAGCAGCTGTAACCCAGGCAGCTGTAACCTGCTTCTCTGATTATAGACTAGCCTTTTAGTTACCTACATTGTTTTCTAAAATGTTATAAGAGACTAAAGGGCACCAGAGAAGAACTCTTTATTATAGATTAACTTCTTCTTTCTTCCTTTACACAAACACCTTAGATTGTCTAAGATGGAATGTTAAACATATACTTCTAAATTGGAAAAGAAAAAGAAAACAAGCTGTAACTAATCAAATTGCTGTAACTCATAAACCAGCCATATATGGAATGTGCTGTAATCCTATTAAATTTTGCTGTTTTCTGCCAGTATAAATAAGACCTTAACTTTTCAGTTTCAGAGCACTTACCCCATTCCTTTAGAGTCTGTATTTCCCAAATGTCTATAGTTAGCTTTTCACTTGGATTAACTCTTAAACTGGATTCTGATCCATTTTGTTATTTCAGGTTGACACCTCCTACTGCTTTTTGGCTATGCTGGATTCCTTCCTCCTAGCTTTCCTTCTCTTCCCTCCCCTCTGTCTTATCCTGCAGTATCTTGTCGATAATATTCCCATGAGGTTGCCCTTAGACTTCAACCAATCTCATAACTCCATTCTCCCACACAGCCAATGTATTTTTATGTGCTTACCAAGTGCTGGCAAGAGGAAGACTTCTTTTGGTAGATGTAAAATAAGCCATTAGTGTCCAAAAGGCTTACATCTTGGACAAATTCAGCGTTTTAAAAGAAGAATCTCTTGGCCAGGCATGGTGGCTCACGCCTGTAATTCCAGCACTTTGGGAGGCTGAGGTGGGGGGATCGCCAGAGGTCAGGAGTTCGAGACCAGCCTGGCCAACATGGCAAAACCCTGTCTCTAGTAAAAGTACAAAAATTAGTCAGGCCTGGTGGCATGCGCCTGTAATCACAGCTACTCGGGAGGCTAAGGCATGAGAATTGCTTGAACTCAGGAGGCAGATGTTGCAGTGAGCCAAATCGTGCCATTGCACTCCAGCCTGGGAGACAGTAAGACTCCATCTCAAAAAACAAACCAAACCACAACAACAACAAAAAAAAACAAACAAAAGAGAACTCTCTTTTAACATAACTTGATCTTTAATTTATTGTTGTGGTCATGCAATATGTGTCTTTTTTAAAGTTCGTCAAGTGTGAGGCCAATATTACCTGTGATCTGGTGCAGTGGTTCATTCACAGAAGGTGTGTAGTTAATATTATAATTGGCTTGAATTATTTTATATTTTAAATGAACATTTATATTTGTAAATGCCAAAAGTAGAATATGCTATTAAAAAAAAAAACCTTGTCAATAAATAAAGAAGTACTCTTTTGTTTCAGATATTTATTCTCATTAGTCTTATTATCAGAGAGCTTTTCTGAGGTCTTTACACATCTGGGTTTTTTTTTTTTCTCTCTCTCTCTTTTAAAAACACTTGCCCAATAATTCTGTGTCACTATCACCCTACTCTGACTTTAATTTCACTAAGCTGCATTTTATGTTTAGTATTTCATAATGTGTCTTGCCTTTTGAAAAGGATAAAGTTTTGGCATTAGTACTGTAAATTTGTGATTATATAACAATCGAATACTGCCAACGTCCCTGAGATAAGATGACTTAAGAAAAAATAGGCATTAATAGGAATAGGAAAAATACCAGGCAGCATTATTAAGTAGGTAAAGCCTATTTTCATGCTTCCTTGATCTCTCCTTTGGCTCTTTCCTCTTCCTTTTGTGTGTGTGGGTCCCAGACACACAGTGCCCTCAATCTAAATGTGTCCTACACTTGCAAAGAAGTGCATTAGGCTCTGGGCCTCTCTCTCTCTTTCAGCTCCTTCCTCAAGGCCTTAACTCTTTCTAGACCAAGCTACTGGATGGCTAATGTGTTTATAACCGTAACATCTTCTCGTTACGCCCCTCCCAGATAGTATCTGCAGTTTAATCTTTGGTCTCTTAGCCAAAGGCAGGAAGAGTAGCCCAGAGAGGCAGACCTGAAGCCATGTGCACATGAGACCAAAGGTGGTTACTCCTCTACAAAATACTGATGATTCCTAGTTTATGAAAGTATTTTTTCTTCTGGGTTGCAGTTAGAAAGTTTATGTAATCTAGCAGATAAAATAGAAAAAATTTTTTAGAAATTTCATACTGAAGCAATTCATTAGCTAATTCAGACTAGTTAGTTCACTTTTTTTTGCATTTTTCTTGAGATAAATATATATAACATAAAAGTATCCATTTTCAAGTGACCAGTGCAGAGGCATTTGGTACACTCACAATATTGTGTTGTGTAACCACCACATCTTCCTAGTTCCAAAATGTTTCCTCCATCCTGAAAGGAACCTTGCACTCATCAAGGAGTTGCTTCCATTTCCCACTTCCCAGGCTCTGGCAGCCATCAGGCTTCATTCTGTCTCTATGGGCTTACCTATTCTTGATTTTTCATGTAAATGGAATCATACAATATTTGACCTTTTGTGTGTGGCTTCTTTCACTTAGCCTGATGTTTTGAGCATGATTTAGTATTTCGTTGTTTTTATGGCTGAATCATATTCCATTTTATTTATCTCCTATTATTTATCCATCCATCTGTTGATGGACATTTGGGTTGTAGTCACCTTTAATCTATTGTGAATAGTGCTGCTATGAACATGTGTGTCCATGTATTTGTTTGGTACAGCTAAGAGTGGAATTGCTGGGTCCAGAATTAACTTTCTGAGAAACTGCCAGCTGTTTTTCACAGTAGCCGAACTATTTTACGTTTCTACCAGTAATGTACAAAGGTTCCATTTCCTCCACATCTTTGTCAATACTTGTTATTTTCCTGTTAATTCATATTTAAATAATCAAATTTAAATATCTAATCTTGGGGATAAATATTTTCTCCTAGGGAGTCAGGAAACCAGAGAACTAGACCATTAACTTGTAATGAAGAAATAACTATTTTAAATTGAAAGGAAAAGATATATTAAATACTTTAACTCATTAATGTGATTTACTTCCGCTTCAACTCATTCCAAATTTGATGTGGCTTACAGAAGTGCTCACAATATAGAGTTTCCATACTTCTTGCATTAGAATGTCTGAGGGTGCTTGCTAAGTAACAGAAGCAGACTGCCTCCAACAAATCTAAGGCATTGAACCCTCAGGGCCTTAAAAGGCAGCAGATGCCTGGGAATCTGAATTTTAAATATGCTATCTTATTTAAAGTGAAGTTGAGAACCACTGAGATAACTAGACCAAATGATCCTGGTCAAATAAAGGACTGAAGTTCAGCAGCAGCAGCCTTTAAGGCATTTGTAATTAAATACCTCATTGTGGTAGGACTCTTGACCCTGTACAAGGAGAAGTGGTTGACCCTTTGGAATCTTACAAGTTAATGTAATTAAAGATTGCCTGTTATTCCAACTTTGCGTATTTGCTTAATAGAGTTTTTGGCATATATTTAGATGTCTGATAAATATTCTGAATGTTTTGAGAAGAACCATTGCATAGAAATGGTTCGAATATTATTATAGAATCTGAGAATACACCCAACTTAAATAGCTGACTCCATATCTTCATTATTAGTGGTTTCTTCCCCATACACACCTTTTAAAGTATGGCTGAATTTTTTAATTATTAATTATGAGACTTTATATTTCTTTTTTTAGAAGGATGTTTGGTAAGTTGGTCACTTTATGTTTCTCTCTATCACTTTTTGGGGATCAAGATGTTATTAAAAATTTAACAGTAACTTTGAATCCTTTACTCACTCCCCACCTCCAGATAACAAACGAACAATCCACAGCCGCCTGTGATTTCTAATACACTTATGGGACTCTATGGCTGTGAGGTTGAGACTATTAAGATGTTCAAGCTTTTTTCTCCTTGTGTACATCTGTAATTTATTTCAGTTAAAATTTTAACAAAAGTTAAAATTTTTCCCATTATATTTTTACATAGTGGAAAATACAGTAATACTCAGTATACCAAAAAACAAACAAACAAACAAAACGACAACAACAAATCAGACTCCCAGTAATTTCAGTCACTCTAAATGAAAAAAAGCAGAGAAGGACTTTTTAATAGAGAATAAAAGGCTGACATGAACCCTAAGGATTTTCTGTGGCAAAAGAGCAAGAGATATAACCATGAGAAATCTTAGGCAGCAGAGTAAATGGAGGAGGACACATTGATAATGATGAAAAAGAGAAATATGCCATGATAACAAAAGAATGGAGGGGTTTAATTTTAAAATAATAGTGTATTCTCATTTATGGAGAGACTAAAAGCATTCTTCTCTTTGGAGGTCCCTGAATATACTCCTTTTGCAGTAATCAGTGTGTGTATGCACACTAAGACTCTTGCTCATCAAGGAAAGAGAAGTCCAATTTCTGTTGAATTATACTATGTTTGTAGAATGCGTAATCCATTTCAGAAAGATTTCCATGTACATATAAAAAACATTCCATGAACATAAAGAAATGTATAGTGTTAAGTTGCTAGGACATATTGCTGATATTAAAAACCCCAAGATATTATTACTTCTTACTGTGGTATTTAAGATGCTTGTGATTCAGTATTTCTGCTTGTTTTGCTTACGTGATTATTTGTGTATGTAAAGTTTCACAGAACCATTCCTGTCTGTTCACTGCTGGGGCTAGTAAAAGACTGTGGCGGGTTTTTGCTTTTTGGTTTTTTTGCATGTTTTGTTTTTGCAGAGGCAGATGCCTTTCTTGAGCTGCTTTCCTAGGAGCTATGTCTCTGGTGATCCAAGGAACGCATTTGCAAGATGACTGACAGGCTGACAGGGTTGGTGTGATGCAGCTTGTGGTCCAAAGTAGAGTGACACTTTACATGTAAATGAGCCACAGTTACTCCTTTTTAAAAAATTTAACTAAGAAATTTACTAAAGTGACAGACTTTTATTACCTCCATGCATATGGAATCCTAAGGTAGCTCTAATGATTCTTCTCTGCATTAACAAGAAAAAGTCACAAGCATTTATACTTTCCAAAAAACAAAGATGTACATGTAAGCACTGTTACCAGAGCAATACGTTATAGGTATAACAAATAATTAAAATCAACGACTTTGTGTTTTATTCAGATTTATCTTCACAGGATAAAACAGCGCTTTTCAAAATTTGAGTTCTTTACAGAGCTCCTTTGTTAGAAATTACATTTGCAAGAGCAATTTTATAGTGCTGAAGAGATCTGCTTTTCTGTAGCACAGGGGAAAGAGGAAATATGCCCATACGAAGCCTTATACATGAATGTTCATAGCACCTTTATTTGCATTAGCCAAACCTAAATGTCCTTCAATAGGTAAATAAACAACACACCTGTATATCCATTCAGTGGAATACTACGCTGTGAAAAACGGGGAAGAACCATTGATAATGCAGCAACATAGATGAATGTAAAATAACTATGCTGCAAAGCCAAGCAAAAATGAGTATATGCTCTATGATTCAATTTATATAAAGTTCTAGGAAATATCTGCAAACTAAACTCTAGGGAAAGAAAGTAAGTGAGTGGCTGTCTGGTGAGGGTGGACTGAGGGAGAGGATAGAAGAGGGAAGGAGGAATGACCAAAAGGTGATGAATGTGTTCACTACCTTGATTGTGATAATGGCTTCACAGGTAGATATATATATTAAAACTTACAAATTATACATATATATTTTAAATGTCTGCAGCTTACTGTATATCCATTATAAGACAATAAAACTGTTAAAAGGAAAATCATCACAAATCATTCCTTTACATACATCCTCTACTCCCTTTTTCCTCCCTTTCTTAAGGCATTAGATTGGCAAAACCCCATTGTTTGACAATTCTATTCCTGCACCAATGCAACTGTGTGTGGTTGGCAAAGAATAAACTACACTGAGGCCAGGTGTGGTGGCTCACATCCGTAATCCCAACACTTTGGGAGATCAAGACAGGAAAATCCCATGAGGCCAAGAGTTTGAGACCAGCCTGGTCAACATAGTGAGACACTGTCTCTTTAAAATAAATAAATATAAAATAAAAATAAACACTGACTAGTGACACTTGAGAAGAAGTTATATAAAATAAGAGTACAGTAGAAAACCAATTTTTGTTCAAAAATTATGTCTATATACAACTTATATAAATAACATTTGGAAGTTTAGGAACCAAAAAATAAGCAGTGGCTATTTCCTAGTAGGTTACTGGTGATTTTTATCTTCTTGTTTATGTTTTTCTGACTTTACAATCTGACTTCTTTTTAACAAGCAGCATTGATTACTTCTATAATGATTAAAATGAAAAATCCTGTTTCCACGTTGAGACATTAAGACTATCACCTGTATGGGATTTGTTTGGCAAAGCCGCATGTGGGATTGTAGAACTAGGAGGGTCAGAGGCTGCTTTGGAACACGCAGAGCTTCTGTAAGTATCCTTTTTTGTTGGTCTGACATTTTTCCCCACCATTTCCCCTCCTCCTTGTAGCTAGAAGACGAAATTACAACACTACGACAAGTTTTGTCAGCGAAAGAAAGGCATCTGGTTGAGATAAAACAAAAACTCGGCATGAACCTGATGAATGAATTAAAACAGAACTTCAGCAAAAGCTGGCATGACATGCAGACTACCACTGCGTAAGTATGATATGAACAGTGTTTTATTGACTCAGCCTGCTGGTTCCTCACTCTGTCGTGTTGTGTTTTTCCTACAAGGCTGATTTGGTGCATGACGCTAGGAAAAAAATACTTTCTCTAGAAGCAAAGCAAAAAAATATGCATAATCATTAAGTATGTTGCATGTGAAGTAGACTTTATAGAGTAGCTTCATGAGATAAAACTTCATTCACTGAAACTCTATTTTCAGTTAGACTACTTTCACTAGGTTGTATTGTTTAAATGTTTTTCTCTTTATATTTCTAAACATTTGTTAAATATACTTTTTTTTAACCTTTTCTTATAAAAACTATAAATGGGAAGGTGTTTTCTCCTCAGCACACTTGACACTCACTACGTATGTCTTCCAAAAGTGGTTGGCAGTTTCAATACTGACTTGCTGGCAATTGATTTACAAAGAAAACCTTGTACCTCTGATCTTTTGTTTTGCATTTTTCATTCTCACTATTCTAGGGAATATTTAGAGCTGGGTTTAGACCAATAGAAATGGTTTTGGCTTTGCCATTATCATCTTATCTTGTGTTAGGCAAGGTACAGAATAATCTTGATTAATCTACAATCACACCTTTTTAATTAGATTATTCTTAAGTTGCATGAAATATTTAATGATGATGGTACTTTTCTAATGTTGTAAAATATTTTACCTGCCAGGGAATCTTGTACCAAAGGGGAGTACTTCACATATGTGATGTGATTTTTCTTTGTTTTGTGTGTTGGGGGTTAGGGGCTGGTGAGGAAATCACAGAGGCTTTATCCCTAGCCCTAACTTTAATCCCAAATTTCACCATCAACAAATTGTCTTTGGGTGATGCATTTTCTTCTCTGCTATCACACTTTGGAAGGTAAAGATATTGCTTTCCTAATATCTAAGTAGGAGTCAATTTTTCTGTCTTTCTCCTAAACATAGAGATACCTGATAGTAGGAAGAGGTACCAATGATTGACAGCAATTATTTCAGTTTTGCCAGCAGCCAACTTTGCCTGCTGGTTCCTAAGAACTAAGGTGTAAGACTTTTTGCTCTTATGTGAAAATGTCCTTGGTATGAGGAATTGAGTCTGAAATGAGCATGATATCTCCCCAACTTTCTTAGTTTCCATAAGAATGAGAATGTTTCTCTCCCCCTAAATATGGCCTAGCAGTCCTATTGGGTTATATGCCTGTGTACCCTAAGAACTCAACCAGATAAGTTCAGGGCACAGCTCAGAGTCAGGCAGGATGGAGCCAGGGAGCTTGTCAGTTTATCTCCACAAGCTAACCAACCTTCCCCAACCTAATGATGACAGTTATGGAAAAAAATAAGAAACCACAAATTGACGTGCAGCAATTTAAAAGATAAATGGCAACACCATATGAACAATCTCCTGAAAGGATAACTGGATTTTAGGCATTAAATTAAATAAGCTTACCTGTTCGTAGTTTTGGCCACTGTCTTTCCACTTTGGTGGCCAATACCAACTAATGGCCCTGACAGTGGAAGGCTGAACAATCTTTAATTCTCTGGGTCTGGTCACCTCTATATTTAATCCAGGCCTGAGGGCTTCATATTACACTGGTCTGAACTTCCCTGTGGGGTATAAGAACCAGGAAGACCTTCCTGCTTGGCCTTCCTAATCACATTGCACAGGTAAACTAATCAAATGAAAGGCAGGGCAATGCTGGCAATTCTGTTGCTGAAGGAGAGAGGTCCCTGGCAGGGAAGTGGGAACGTCTAGCAGAGGGAGTGTCAAGTTTGTGCAAGGTCTGATTGGGGCAGGGAGGGGAGAGATTCATATTCCTCCTGGGACTGGAAACAGAACTGGCAAGTTCAAGGAAGGTTTCTAGCCTCTTCCCACAGGCAATAATGTCTAATTTGTGTTTTTCCATGTTTGAAAAACAATTTTTGTTTCTTTTTGAGATGGAGTCTCACTCTGTGGTCCAGGCTGGAGCTCAGTGGCACCGTGTTGGTTCCCTGCAATCTCTGTCTCCCAGGTTCAAGCAATTCTTCTGCCTCAGCCTCCCAAGTAGCTGGGATTACAAGCATGTGCCACCATGGCCTGCTAATTTTTGTATTTTTTAGTTGAGATGGGGTTTCACCATGTTGACCAGGCTGGTTTGGAGCTCCTGACCTCAGGTGATCCACCCACCTTGGTCTCCCAAGTGCTGGGATTACAGGCATGAGCCACGGCACCTGGCCACAAGTTGGTTTTATAGCCAGGTGGTCTACTTAATGTAAAGCATTTTGCTGGATGAGTAGCCCAGATTTATTCCCTGGGGTTGTGGAGTTTAGAGTCTAGTTAGGAGGGCAGAGTTTGAGTTTTATTGTTGTTGTTTGTTTGTCTGTTTGACAAAATCATGGACAAGAAGGATAGAAAGGATTTGGAGAACAGACTAACAGTTGTTTCCAGGTGGATGATAAAGGAAGTAGTAGGACCCAGTGCGACGATAGTAGGTCTTTGACTTGGGCTAGACCTAGACATGAGTGAGTGTCGGAACTGTTTACTAGCATTGTGGTTAGCCTCATGGTTGCTTGGGTTGAAATCTAGGCCTTGCTGCATTCATGAAGGCAGATCATCTTAATACCGATCCCATAGGTAGTGAAGATTCATTCAGTAAATTAATGTTTGTAAAGCCTGCAGGACAGCATCTGACACTCTGTAGGCATCAAGTAATTATTTGCTGCTGTGAGAAAGATTCAGAAACAAGTCTGGAGGAGAAGCCCAAGAATTTGTTTTGGCTCTATAATGTCTGAAATGCCCAGTATATAAGCACATTTATAGACTGAGAGGACGACTCAGTGGAAAAGTTTAAGGCAGAAATGGACATTTGGGACTCATCGAGAGCTAGATGACTAGATGAGATTTCCTTTAAGATTATTTAATAAATATAAATGGTCCTGAACTCACTAACCTTTCAGACTGAAGTGAACTTTCCTCTGTAGGGAAGAACCAATCCCTCTCTTTAAGACTAGACATAAGTCTATCAACCATATAATTTTGGGAAAGGGTCTGTCTCCAACCCTTTCTTCTTAGTTACTGAGGGAAGGCAGAGGGCCTTAATTATATGTTTGGAGGAGCAATAACAAAATCTGTATCCCTCTGAATTAATTAAACCCCTGTTCTTAGTGTTGTTCATGATACCCATTTCAGGACAAAATCTACCCCTCATAGGATGAAAAATTTGAAGTGAAGAAATGATGAGCTGTTGATCGGGTTAGGTTGGGTAGAATTAGATTTCAAAGCACTAAAAAAAATTGTAGCTGTCAGAGGATGTGTGTGATTCCCAGAGGCAATACTTTGCATACTGATTAAGCAATCATGACCTATTTAGTTTGATTTATAATGAAAAGAAAATCTATGGTATGTTAATGAAAGATCTTGGCATATTTCAGTCTGCAGTAGGATTCAAATTGAAATAGGCCTTGATAAGTAGGAATAATTACACAGCAGACTGAAATTATCTCCTTTACAGAAAGATTCCAGGAATATAGGAGCAGGTCAAGAGATCATCAGTATCCATGGTTTCTTGTTGCTGTTCTTGTCACAGTTTTTTACTTGCCTGGATTTGTATCTAAGAACATTCAAAAAGTCCTCCCCCTCTTTTGGTTTTCTGCTGCCTTTTTTTGTTGTCATTAGACTTCAGGGACACATGGGAGAGGTGGGTGACTTTGGGGTGAAGAAGGAGGAGAAGTCAAATTTCTTGTGTAGGCAGCAGTAGAATCAGGAAGTGCAACTTTATGGTGGACTATTCAAAGCAGTGGGCTTCATTTATTCAACAAGTATTATGCTTTGCTAACCCATAAAATATCCCCACTAACAAACTCTGAATTGTGCCACAGTGTAAATGGTAAGTCAACAGAGAGCAGAGGTTTTAGAAAGGAATTTAAACTATTCCATATTTTTTAAAAGCTTAATAACTTTATCCTATATAAAGAGGACTAAAAGCCTCACATTCAGCATTTTAAAAATGCACAGTGCTCAAAAGTTGAAGTTTAGTATATGATTGATTTACTCTTTGATTTTGGGCTTCTAAGACTTCCAGGACATTATGATTAGGAATTCTTATTATCTCTTTTGATGAGGGAGCCTGGTTGTAGCACTATTGAGTTCAGGAGTGCCAGTGAAGATTAAAGACCTAATTTTAAAAGATGTACATACCCAATCTCTCACATGGTTGTTCATTCTTTTTACCTTCAAGCTTTCATCTTATTACATAAGGCAGGAAATAGATTCTTTTTTTCTAGATTCAAGTGGTAAATTTATGTTCTGATAATATATTTAGGGAGCCTTTGGAATAAAATAATCCTAAATGATTTTTTGCATTCTTGGGTGAAATGCTGTGTATTCAACCATTAAAGGAATACTTGCTTTTAAATCTCTTAAGAGGAAACATATTCATGCTATAAAATATCTTCTTATAAAAAGACGAATTTTTTATTGCTTCTAGTTGTATGTAGAAAAAATACTTTAAGTGAAAACAATTTAAAAGACAACGTGCTTTGTCCTTTCGATTATTAACACTGCTTTTCAAATTAGTAAAACAAGTCAAGCGGACTTTGCATGAAAAGCCAACAGAATGCCTTTGATTTGGCTTGCAGAGACCCTTACCTTACACTACTGAAGATCCACCTAAGTCAGCGTGCTGTACAAACAGCTAACTCTGTCCTTGCCAATAAACACTATCCATTCCAGCCAAACTGAGTCTGAAAAGCCCACTTTCCTATTGACTTTCACTAAAAAACAGGAAGTTTACATGTACTCAAAACCAAATATCTCTCAGTGAACAGTCTTAAATGACTGAATGCATGTGACATGCTCTATGAACATTAGCTGCCATTGCTTTAAAAAACATTAGCTGCCATTGCCATTGCTGCCAAAGAAAGGGAAATGTTTAACTATGAAAGTAATGGCAGCTAATGTTCAGCCCTAGGCCGGGTTTGAGCCTTATTGGGAAGTACAGGTCCCTACAGGGGTGTTGTTTGCTAG